CATTTTAATAACTTATACGTAAAAATTTAATCAACATTTGAATCGCTTTAATAAAATGTTTTTTGACAATACATTTCTCAATTTATACACTGTATGTCTTTATCAGTGTTGGCAGAGACAACATGTTTGTATAATACAATGTAAAATACATGAATTTAACTTACAAAAAATTAGGGTCACTTAGTTCTAAAAGCATTGATATAAGCAGATTAACCCGTTTTATAATAAATATAGATTTTTATTGAATTTATTTTTTTATTTTAAATTATTTCATTATTATTACTTAAAAACAACGATTATTATAATAATAATGTATTTTCTATTATATAAATTTTTATTAAATATTTTAAATTATTTTTTTAGTTTAAAAATTTGTATAATACATTGTACATTGTATTTTACTGTATTATACAAAGTAAAAGTTCAAAACTTTGTATTTTTCCAACCCTGGTCTTTATACTTATTCAAACTCAGAAAGATTAACTCAAGATTTTTTATTATTAAAAACATTTAAAAATATTAAAAGTAGAAAGATATATTTAACCCGGATGCATTTTTATAAGATTATTTAAGAGTATTTTTAGAAAATTTTATGTAAATCAAACAAACAAAACATAAATTTTTATTATTTTTTAATATATAAACATTGATTTTATTTTCATAACCCGCCTCCTCATTATTTTCAATATATATTTTTGAGTTTGATTAAAATATTTAATATACTTTTTATTTAATTAAAATTATTATTATATTTAGCCATTTATTTAGATTTTTATATATTTAGAATATTTTCATTTTTATATCAATATTATAATATAGAACTTATATATAAATATAAAATAAATCAAAGCATTAAGTTATATATTAAAATGATATACTAATTAAATACTTTAAATATGAATTTTTTGAGTCATAATTGATAGCAAATACCATATTTTACAGTTGTATTCAATAATACTTATATGGATTTGAACTCACATACCATACATTATTTACTGTTCTGTAGACTATAGTATTGCAAAATTAGGTCAATAGAAAGTCCATTCACTTAGAGATGGGAAGGGTATGTCACTCGGGTGTCATATATTACTGTAGTATATTGAGCTTAGGTATCATTTTATATCAATACACAATATTATATAAATTATATAATATGAAATTGATTACCAGAGCATTTGTAACCCTATTTTTCATATGATGTGATAATTATTATTATATGAATAAAATTAGGTTATTTATTAAATCTTAAATTAAGATGATATTCATTATATTAAATCTGATGACTTTAATTAAATAAATTTTAATTGTAAAGATTGTATGTAATCTAATTAAAAATATTTTTTAATATGAACATTTGTTAATTTAACTATTAATATTTAATAATATGTGTTAATTTCATATTAAATAATAATAATTATTAATTTCCATTTTATTGTTATTTTTACTATAAATATTATAATTAAAATACTTATAACATTATACATAGTGTTTATTATACAAAACACAAAACAAAAATAATTTAATAATTACAAAAATTAGAAAAATTACTTAAAATATAATTATTTAATGAACAATATAATAAATTAACATAAATACTATATTTAGTAAATAAAAATATCTAAAATAAAATAATATTAGTATTATTTTTTAATGAATTTATAATTAAATATCCATATTTATGATTTTAATTATAAATAAATAACCTTTTTTAGTTTTTATACAACTAATAAATTCTTTGAAATTAAAATTATTCTCAATTTGCAAAAAGCACTTATAATAAACACTTCTATAAGTATTTCTATTTAAATATTAAATTGTATATTCAATTTGAAAAATACCATTTATGTTATTCACACATTTGTCAAATATTTTTATTTAAACCTAAGCTTTTAAAATTTTTATATCTACAGTATATTGTTGTATAATTATCTCATAATTATCTCATAATTTAATATTGTACTAAATTACATTTTATAAATAATTATCCACTTAATATAAAGTACAATTATTATTACTAATATGAATTTTTATCAAATATATATATAAATAACTTATATTAAATACAAACTTTTAAAATAAAATTCATTTTTTTATAAAATATTTTACTAATAATTCAATTAATATAATATGATGACAACGAAAATCATTTGCAATTATAAAAGTTTACAATTTTTATCCTATAATTTATTAAAATGTAAAATAATATTATAATTAATATGAATATAAAATAGAAATAATGTTGAATTAAATTAATAATAAATTTAAAAATAGTTTTCAATTAAAAAGAGCCTATCTATCGGTTCTTATATTACATAAATAATAAAATAACATAACATTGAATTTTATTAAATATAATGTTTTGCGTGGGTTTTGTATAATATTAAGGTCTATATCAATAGCTATGGCAATGTTATTATGTTTGTGTTATCTGAGAGCTCAACAAATTTCAAGCAAACTGTTAGAACATTGAAAACTATGGACTGTTGGTAACAGTTATATATGTTGTAAGCGCACAGTCTATGTGTTTATGTATGTGTGCCGTGAATGGCAAAAGCGTGGGTGGATTTGCCCTTCAATTTGTTCGTTCATTTTAATATTGTTTGTGTTCTACTTCTCCTATCTTCAGCACCGATAGCATAGCAGCCATACATCTCAAGAGAGACACAAACGCTGATCGAAAAAAAATTATATTTTAGATGAAGGCGTTTATCTGATTATTATATATAAAGACTATATTTGTTTAATAATACAGTATATCGTTAATATATATATTTTTTAAATATTATTTGTTTGCAATTATATTTTATTTTTACTGTTTAAGACAAAACAAGATTTTGTTAGACACTTAAAAAATAACAAAAATAAATTTATTAAAATTAGTACATTTCAATGAAAACCATCGTTATATCCATTTTTATATTAAAAACAATACATTTTATTTTTAAAATAAATACAGTATTGCACAATAGAGTAAAATAATACAGTATATTAACAAAACTTAAAGCATTATTTGTAACAAAATATAAAATTGTGACCTTTTGTAAATGTGTTATTTTATTACTTAATACATTGTGTCATAAATTTAAATATCAGGGCTTTTATAAGTAAATTGATAAATTTTACAGTACATTATGTAATGTACACATAAGATTATAATACTACTGTACATAACATGTCTAAATGATAAGTTTAATTAATTATTTAAATTATTATTAATATTCAATAGTATATCTTTAAATAATGCTAACCTACAATATATCGATCACTTTATTAATAAATTATTTTTTAAAACAATATCATATTTGCCATTTAATATAATAATTTATAAGATTATATTTAATTTAAGTAAGTATAATATTAATAGATAATTAATATTTTAGTTTTTATCAAAAGTAGAGATTGGTTTTGTGTATTAGCATTGCAATGATAAAAGCTTAGGTAGATTTAGATAACAACTAATGTGGGTTAACATTGAAAAACTTAGGCAATAGTGAAGTCTGTTCACAGACACCTACGCTGACAATGAAAAACAGTGTCTTTAAATAATAAATGTTATATAAAATATAATAATGTTTTATCAAATAAATGCCAAACAAAATGTAAACCAAGTTATCAATAAGACAACTATGTACTGTACTATACTATACACTAATGTATAGTATAATATATATGATTGTCTAGGTTTATGTCGTACCAAATCATATATACAGTATATAATACATACCGATCCTTAGTTGTCACATGACATTTGAAAGTTTTTGAACACTTTTTTTGTTATATAATATTTACTTTTTGTGTTTTAATATGTCATTTTAATGTAAAATCTGTATAAAAATATTGTTGACATTTACATTGTTATAAAATATTTTCTTATTTATATCTATAATACAATATTTTTGATGAAAAGCTTATAACATATGTTTAATATTTTTTGTTGAATTAACTATTTAAGTCGAATAAAACTTATAATTAGAATATAATTAAAACTATGTTAAATTGCTTTATTGAATGTAAGATAATAAATTTCGTTGAATAATAATTATAATTTACAATTATTTTAATAACTAAATTAACTAATAATACATATGTATATAGAATAATAGATATTTTAAACTTCTGTTATTAAAATATTTATTATTGTGCATAAAACGACAAATAGATATCTCTTAATATTTTAATATAAATTACATTACTAAGAAAATATAATCTAATAAAAATTAATTAACAAAAATAAATTACATGATACTCTTTACAAATATTTAAATATATTTTTTAAAATTATTGCAAACAATAAAAGTGTTTTATCCTAATCTTATAATAAAGTTTGACTTTAATTCAAATAATAAAACTAAATATACAATTACTAGATTCTTTTAATCATTAATTATATTTATATTTATCACATAAAATGTTTTGAAAAAATTAGTTTCTTATTACAAGTAAATCAAAACAACTTTAATACAGATCATTATTTTGTTAATATAAATAAGTACAGTATAACTAACTTTTATCTATACATATCATTTATCATAACAGATAATAGCATCTAATAACTAATATATTTTATATAAAATAATCCTATAATATTTTACATATATAATTTATTTAATAAACTTAGATATTACAATAAAAATAATTCATTATTAGTTTAAATACACTATATTTAATACAAGATAATAATCATTAACATTTACATGCAATGAAAATTTTGGTGTTTTTAAAAATTATGATGTTCTGTACTTATATCAATAACTATAATAATTATAATACTAATACTACTAATAATTAGCCACTACATCGTAAAAAAGTAATCGCAAGACAAGTACAATATAATTATAGTATTGTTAAGTCCAGCAGTGAAACGACAGCCATCTGAGCACATGTTTGTGTAATCATAAAATCAATATTACTTTAGACATCACTTTAGGCAACGTTTGCGTCACTTTAGTCAATGAAAGCGCATACACACTGTCACATACATACATACATATAGTATAGACTCTTTAAATCTCATTGATTACATTATACGCCATTTTTATTAAATACATTTATTCATTATGTTTTAATTAATACATATTGTTGTTATCTATTTTGGGGGTATGTATCCATTTGGTTATTTTCTAATTATTATTTAAAATAAAAACAATTATAATAACACTATAATTACAATTTATCCCCTCAAATGACTCTTTCTAGCAATACATTATGTTTGCTTGTAGTACTGTATAGATAACTATTAATCGTTTTATTTAATTAGCATGTTAATTTATTGAAATATTATAATAACTATTATAATTTAATAATACAGTATTATATTTCATTTATATAATTGTTATGAAATAATTTAATTATCAAATTTATGCAATTTATCTTGATGATATGTTTTTGTAAAGTAACATATTGCCGGTTTGATTTATATTGATTTTGCATTTATAGCTTTACAACTATTGGGGTTTTAATTGAAATTAAACAATTATGTGGTCATCACTGTTGATATCAATCAGTGCTTTAATTAGCTTATCATTGGGTCAGTCATCAAACAGACTCGACGTCTTATCTAATGAATTGTTGCAACAATTTATGACACGATTAGACAACAATCAAAACTTTGATGACATTACCTACGAGTCAAGGGTTTGTTATATATTATGGTTTAATAAGATTTTTAAAATGAATTAATTTTTCTGATTTATTTCAAATCAGAATCTAAATCCAATTCGAGTAACAAAAGGATCGCCAGATTATGACATTCATCCGTTTAAGTTTCAGACACGAGATTCAGACATACTGTTGCCACGGGAACCGGTACCACGTAAAGAATATTTAGAGCACTCGACTCTTTGGGGTCACCAGTATATGCAGGGCGGCGCCGGTGAGGGCAGTCAACGACTCAAACCAGATGGTAGTATACATAACGTACAGGTGATCAAAACAGATGCAGTATTGCCTGCCTATTGTAATCCACCGAATCCGTGCCCTATTGGATATACAGGTATATTAAATAAATTATCTCTAATTAATAATTTTTATTGAATAAAATTTAAATAATTAGCTGATATGGGATGTATTGAGGACTTTGAAAATACAGCCGCTTTTAGTCGCGAATATCAGGGATCACAGGAGTGTATGTGCGATACGGAACATATGTTTGACTGTCCGGGAAATACAGATGAAAATGAATTGGAGACATTAGCCCGATCCATACAAAATGAAGGTATTATGGACTCAACTATCGACAAACTAGTCGGTGGACTACATGATGACGGATCGGAACACAAAGTGGTGGCCAAAAAGTTTTTTACTAAACAGGTCAGTCATTTAGTTAAAAAAAAGCAAATTATAAGATTTAATAAAAAATTATTTGACTTTTTTGACACTTTTTTGTACAACATTTAAGTTATATTCAAATGCAGTGATTAAATATATTGTTTGTCTATAGACTCAAAACAACTATTTAAAACATGTCATCAAAAAGGCACACAATGTCGGCTCCAAAGCTGACAAACTCGTGAGTCATTTGCTATTATTTTTAGAATATTATTACATAATAATGCAATACTCAATGCAATATATTAATATAATTATAATAACAGACAAAAAATCCATACCTTGTCGGCGATCAACTACCAGTTGTGGCAAAAAAGAGTCCACATTTGGCTAAAGGCATATAAAAACTATTTATAAATTTTTTGTTTAATAATTTTATAAAACAACTACAAATTTATCTTAATTTTTAAATTATTTGACCATTTGTTATATCATATTATTAAAAATTTTAGAATATTGCATATAATATAATTAGTGTGATATCTAAAAATTAAAATTGTTATATACTTTACAGTAAATGATTTAAATTGTTTTGTGTTGTGATTACTTATTATTAATTAATTATATTTCTATTATAATTAATTATTTGATTATTTCTCATAAAAACTAAATAATATATTTTATAATTAACTTATAAACTCTAGCTCTATTGTGTTATAATTTAAAATTGAGTAGGCATATATATAATATATATATATATATATATAAATTTTTAATTAATTGAAATATATATTAATTGAATTATAATTGTAAAAATTATATTAATTGTTGTTAGCTTAAAGAGTGTCTAAATATTTTATAAATATTAATCAAATATAATTTTTAAACAATGTAAATTATAACACTGATAAACAAACAAATTAATTATATTTTTAAATATGAATTTCTATTTCTTATGCTATTCATAAATCGATATTATTAATTGAATATTTGTTTATATATTATACAGGCTGGCTCATCAGGAGTTATTTTCAAAATACACCACTTATTTCAAAAACTACTAATTATATTTTATTTTAACAAAAAATATTATAAAATATGATAAATGGGATTACATATTTTTATAAAAAAAATTTTTAAAATGGCCGCCTTTAATTGCAATTAAATGGCAAAGTCAGGTGTAAAAATAGTCGAAATTGTCCTTATTTATTATATTTTGACTATCACGCGACCGCTACATCCAGAACCTGTCGCCATATGATGTGCTATTAATGACAAAGAAATAATTGGGCCTATATTTTTAAGAGAAATTTGTGATATCAGAGATCTACAGGACTTAAATCATTGTGCAGGACATAAGGTCTGCTGAAGATAAAAAGATTGCTTGATTGTTACTGGTTTAAACAAGATGGTTCACGACCTTACAGAACACAAGATATCTTTGAACAACTTAGAGAGTGTTTTGGTGATCGGATTATAGGTTTGGATGCGCCCAAGAAGACTGGCGGCGGAAATGATTTTACCTCCATATTTACCCGATTTCAACACCTGTGATTATTTTTTTTGGGTTTATTTTAAGATATGGTTTACATATCCAACCCTCAATCTATTGAAGAATTCACAAAAATGATTGAAAGTGAGATACGGGCCATACAGCAATATATGAAAGTACGGGTAACATCCAATTTTGTACACCCAACTTTGCCATTTAATTGCAATTAATGGCGGCCATTTTGAAAATTTATCTAATTAAAATATGTAATCCCATTTATCATATTTTATAATATTTTTTGTTAAAATAAAATATAATTAGTAGTTTTTGAAATAAGTGGTGTATTTTGAAAATAACTCTTGATGAGCCACCGTGTATAACAAATCACTTAAAATTTAAGCAAATTATCTAATGTTTATTAAAATATTTTAACATTTAAGTAAATTTCCAAATGAAAGGCATTTAAAGAAAATTGGTAAATATTTTTTAGTACCAATAATTATTTTGTGTAAAATAAAACAAAAATTATTAACTATAACTATTGATGTGTATAAAATTGTAAATGAAAGTAAAATTTTTTCTCAATTTGTAAAATCAATATTAATTTATAATTTAAGTAAATTTTATTGCAAATTCTGGAAAATTTTTGCTTTTATACAAATATTAAACACTTTTCTGTATTAATATACATATATTTACTCAATTGTCTTGTTTTTTAGTTTTTAAACTACTAATTAATGAAATATATAAATATTTAACTTTATTTAAACTAAGTTCAGAGAATCGGGTTAGGGATAACTGTGCAATGATTGAACGTCTACTATAACTTATAGTCTATAAGATATAAATTATCTTAAACTTGAATATATCTAAAAAAAATATATAAATTATATTAAAACTTACTCTCTTACTGTATATTAATATTGTAATCTTTTTAATAATTGCTGTAATTTTTTAATGTATTGTATGAAACTTAGTGTTATAATTTATTTAAATAAATGGAAAATTTTGTTTTACAAGCATTTTATATTTCAAATCTTTTTGGTAATGAATTAGTAAATTGCTATTTATTAATATTACATTTTGTATATATATATATATATATATAATATGATTAATATTTTATGATATATTTTAATAATCATTTTTCAAACATTTAGTAAAAGCGTATAAAATACTTACATTTAGTTTGTGTAAGATTCGTAATATTGAAAACAGCAATTTTATATTAATAATTAATTAGTAATTAATTTTAATTTTTTCTTTAATTATATTAATATTTATGTATGTTTATTTGTGTATTAATATACATAATTAAGTTAAATTGGCTTAATTTAGTCGATAATTTATTATTTGTCGATTAAAACAATGTTCGTATCATTAGTATTTGTTTTATGTTTTACATCAGCTTTTAGTAAAAATTTATTAAGTAATGATGTTTTAATCGAAAAATTACAATTGGCTTCACTTCAAGTCATTGAACAACATTCAAGTGATTCATTAAATGATGATAATTATCAATATTTAACTCAAGAAGATATATTAGAAGACAATGTTGTTCGCAGTCGACGATCAGTTCCTCGAATTTTCAAAATACCAGTTTTGGAAAACACGACTGACTTTATGCATAGTTATGTGGCCGACACGGGTGTTGGCAATCGCGAAGACATTATCGTTGAGAACATTCAAGAGGAACAACTAAAAGTATTGGTGCCATCATCGATGTTGGGTTGGAAATACCTGCGCTTCAATAGCACTGATTATGTGATGGCTTTTCAAGATTTTAATATAAATGTATGGCAAATGACATTAACCGGCGATATCAGAGGTCGTGGTCTAATGTTTGACTCGCGGAACGCCTATTGTTCGGTAAATTTTTACAATGAGGGTCAGGTCATTGATGCCATGTTTTATACAAAAGTAATCAAATACTCGGAAGTTCTTATGATTGCCCTAACGATAGGCTTAAGAAACGGATATCAATTGCGTATCTATGAAGTGGTGTATGGAGAGTGTGTATCAGTATTACAACAAAATCTTCAACACAACCGTCCCCTCCGAATGTCTTTAATTAGGTCTCAATATGAAAGCGCTTTGGTTTTGCTATACAATAACACCCGAAGCATAACTGATATCAAGTATTCTCAGAAAACTCACGACGAGTCCACTAAACTGATAGAAGTTTTTACAGATAATGCCATTGATTTGGAAACTATGTCTATCAATGGTTTTACTTTTCTGATTATTGCTAATGGAAAGGGATGTCAAGTCTACAAAATGAACGAATTTTTGACAAAACATTATATATCTGAAAATATTGCAATTCCTGAGATAATTGATATCAAACCATTCCGTCTCGGATTTAATCACTTTCTTGGTTTAGCCACAAAAAGTATACATCAGTATCTATACATTTGGGACAGTAATTCATTTTATTTAAAACAAATATTTAAAGCAAATAATGTGTTAAAGTTGAATACAATATATATGGCCACCTGTAGAGATGATGTCCTCATATATTTTACTCGTCAAGGCTTTCAAGAACTGATATATAGATGGGATGGACAACGAAGACATTTTCAATTGGTTAACAATGAGATGATAACAGGTCTCTCTCGAGGTTATCAGGTTTTGACTATTTCTGCGGCAGATTTTTCATATAATCATACGGCGTATATCTTTATTGTGGACTCAAACCGTAGGCCACATTTAGTGTCAATTAGTACCAAACTAGATGTGGTTCCCGATCCAGAGCTTATGAGAGGTCATAAAATCTATGAATTAATGAACAATCTTAAGGAAAGGTTTATATTTGAACAAACATATCTTCAAAAAATGTCAGATGAACTCAAGTATGCCATAAGATCGACATCCAATGAACATATAGTTTCGCAATCATTTATTCACAATCTAAATGTACTGAAAGGCATTAATGCTAATAATATCAATACTTTAAGCAAAATTGTTTGGCAAAACTCAAAATTATCTATTAATGACTTAAAATTTAAAATTAAAGACATGAAAATTGTTTTTAATATAATTGAACAAAATATACAGAAACTTCTTTATATGACAAATGATGTGGTACTCCGAAACCGACCGACACTTATAACCGGACATAAATTATTTATAGGACTCAATGAGATTAAGTATATGAACACTACATCGGCTTCAATTGGTTTGGTTGGACAACAAAATCTCAAACATTTGTTTAACAATTTGTTCAGAAAAAGTAAACTACAAGTTATTAGAGGAATCAAACGTATGATTAAACCAATAGTTGTCAACAAATTTCTCAATTCTGGTTCAATCAATGGTATTGATCTGAGACGACAAATGGTGACAACAAATACACATCAATTAATCAATAGTTCAATTGTCTATAACTCTCAACTAACTATTGCTAATAATTTACACATAAAAGATAAACTCAATGGTTTAGATGTGAACAGAGATCTTATTTATCTTAATCGACCCGAAGTTATATTTACACCAAAAGTGTTTACATCACATCTAACTATTGCTAACATAGTTAACACATTAACCATTGATGGCATAAATGTTAAACAATTAGCACAAAATACTTTACTTTCAAATGGTTTGCCGCAAATCATGTCATCTAATCTTAAATTTGTAAAACCATTGACCACCAAAAGTATATCAGTTGTAGGTTTGGTTAATAATGTAGACATATCAACGATGGTCAAGTACTTGGTATACAAGAATCATCCGATTCAAGTAAAGGGCAAAAAGATCTTCAATTTAGATGATTTGAAAATGAAAAACAATTTGTTTGTTATCAAAACATTTGATGGATTATCGATTCCTAATGATATTCTGCTAAAAAATAAAAATCAGGTTTTATTAGTTTTAATTTAAATCAATTTTTTATTAAAAATTAATACTTTAAATTTAGATAATATCCGGTGAAAAATATTTTATAGGTTTGACAAGATTTGTATCTAAAGTATCAGCAATTGGTTTAGTGGATGGCCTGCGTCTGCCTCAAGATATAGTGACACTTACAAGAAATGACACAATCAAAGGACCGATAGATTTTGCCAATAGTATTGTTGTCAATCAACACATCATTGCTCGACGTTTGGTCGATGGGGTCGACATATCAGAGCTATATTTGTTAGCTTTAAAATCAAGTGACTCTTTGATCCAAAACAACGTCCGATTCTTTAATTCAGTGACTGTCGATGCTATCGAATTGACTGGTTATGTGAATGGCATAAATTTGAATTACTTGTTCAATGAGGCCATATTTAAAGGCAATCCAAAAGTGCAAATAAGTGGTACCAAAATATTTGAAGCGACTGTTATTATAAAGCAATTACTTGTTGATCGGATCAATGGTGTCGTGTTATCAAATATAATGACAACCAACAAGAATGAGACCATTTTGATGCCAAAAATATTTGTTTCTGAGACCACATTTAACTCAATTGATACAAACGGTTTTGTCGCAGGTGTACATATGCGACAGCTTTATGATAACCGCATTTCACTTACTAAATCCGAAACTATACCTCAATTGAAGCATTTTGTTAATCAAATTATCATTACTGGTAATCTAACAGTCGGTTCCATCAATGGTTTGGTTCCACAAAAAGATTTTGTCTTAAAGTCTCGACCGCAACATATTAACGGACCCAAAGTGTTTGCCAAAACATTAAATGCAAATAAAGTTTTTGTTGGAAAATCAACTTTTGTAACGAGAAAAGTAGATAACATTATTATACAAAATCTTAATTCACGTGCTATACGACTAAACGTTGATCAAACACTTCCTCAAAGTCTTATATTAATCAACTGTAACGCAAGTTTTGTTGAAATATTTAAAGATGTCAATGGACTCAATATAAATGATTTTGCCAATAATGTAATGTCGTTGACGAGGCCACAGGTGGTAGTGGCGCCCAAACATTTCAAAGCTATCCAAACATTTCAAAGAATTGAAAGCTCAAGAGGAATATCTGGTGTATCACTGGCTTATCTTAAAGCAAATGCTGTTGTATTAAACGGTGTTTCCCGCATAAGAGCACCCTTTACATTTGCTCATACCGTTATCATTAATAATCCTATATTTATCAATGGTGTCATCAATGGTGTTAATATAGGTTATTTGGCAAACGACGCTGTGTATAAAAATATTAAAAATATGATTACAGGTCGTAATGTCTTTAGATCTGGTTTTGAAGTTAGTGGTGATATTCATACAACAAAATTCAATGGTATAGATCTTTCTAATGAATTGTTCACAAAAACAAGAGATCATGTAATTAAAGGAAAAGTAAAATTTGTTAAATCGGTTAATGTTAACGAAGACATAGCAGTTGGTGGTCGAGTCAATGGTATTAAGTTATCTGAATTTAATGCACGGGTTATTAAGTCAAACACTCAGACAGTAATTAAAGGCAATCTGGAACTAATCGGAACCATTAATGTAATGTCAAGTCTGAATAGTGCCGGACATATAAATGGCATAAATTTAAAGCAAGTTTTCAATGACGCGGTTTATCTAAATACAAATCAAGACATTGTTGGTACAAAAAGGATAACTGAACCGATTTACATGTTTGGGCACTTAAATAGTAGTCATCTCAATAGTGTACCTGTGATACAGTTCCTAACAGATGTCGTATTAATAAACAATATTAAAGAAGAGCATATCATTGCTCCTAAAATTTTTGTCAACGATGTCGAGGCTAGAGGTTTGGTTCAAAGTAAAGGTATCGCACAAATGGGTCCAATAAATGGTGTAAATATCGTACAACTAAAAGCTGAGTCTGTAATGACAAACAGAGCAACTGTTTTACCACTAAATCGTCGTTTTATAGATAATGTGATTATAGCTAATATGATACGAATTGATGGCAAAATTAATGGCATAGATTTGTGGAGAGATGTCATACTATTGAATGTCATTAACAATAGAGAGCCACAAGTAATCACCGGTAATAAAGCATTTGAACAGTTAGTCCTTAACGACAATGCAGTTATCAAAGGTTTGGTTAATGGCTATCCATTGAAATCACTTGAAATAAATACTGTCTACACATCTAATAATCAGAGAATAACTGGACATAAAATTTTCAAAGGATTAGTCCATCTCTTTTCGCCTAATAATAGAGTAGAAGTTCTTAATGGTCTGAGGATTCCTGAAGACTGGATTACTTTAAATGGCAAACAACAGCTAAACTCAAATTTAGTGTTTAATAGTCCTCTGAATATTAAAAATAATTTGTTTGTAACGGGAAACATAAGTGGTCACAACCTAACGCGTTTGGCCACCCGATCACTTCGTAAAGATAGACCGCAAGAGATTATTTATCCGATAAGATTTGACACATTGGTCTTCAGACAAGATGTGATGGTCGACCAACACGTGGATAACATTGATTTGAGTGCACTGTCCAACACTGTTAAACAGTTTACAAGAGTAGTGAACGTTTCCAAGGATGTACTCATAGATAATGCCAATCGACACCATTATATATCTGATTATATCTACAAATCTTTAGAAAAGTCAGTCTTTGAAATCGATTCATTTGTTTTGTATCAATTTCTTGATGAAGTTCACGGAAACTCTATAGAAATTGTATCAAATAATGCGTTTACAATAAGTGATTCAATGGGAAACCCATCAGCCGTTCATTTAGTTAAATATAATATCGATAACGAGTTGTTTGAGGCGACTCTAATCAATCAAAATAAAGGATTAATAACCAAAACGTTTGCTTTAAGAGGACACGAGTTTATCGTGCATTTGAATCCATATGTTTACAATTATACATCACATTTGACAGCATCCGGTAAACTATTGGCACCAATTGGACAATACATTACATCTATGGAAGTGTTAACTGTCAGCAAAACTATGGCTATATTAATATCCTATCAGTCAAACACTGGGAAACTGATTGTGGACTCACTTGAAGTCCAAAGTAATAAATATATTTTTAATCGCATCACTGAATCTATAGTAGGAAGAGGTATATACTGTATATTTTTTCTATATTTAGTAGTTATTAGTTACTACTCTATGAATTAGACTAATGTTAATATAATTTATAGATACATCAAAAGTGATAGCATTTTTGCGCCAAAGTGTTGTACACATTGTAGTAGGAAAACATCGCGGTATGAATTGCATACTAGACAGCACCGGGACATTAATTTTTGTGCTAAAATATCATCGCACACTTGAACTGATCCAATCGCTTTCAGTGATAAATGTTGTCGATATTATCTACTTTGAAAATAACAGAAAATATTATTTAGCGTTAAGTGAGGGTACATCTGGCGATGGATCTATTGGGTCACACATTATTCACATCTACCGAAACGATTATATAAGCGATTATAGACAACACAAGTGTAGTTTCTCATTGTTTCAAAGATTATACTTTAATAATGCCATACAATTGTCGACTTTTACATTTGGCACTGTTTACTCTCACCACCAATACTTGACTGCTTTTAACTCGTCTAATGTTATTGTTTGGAAACTAAAAGGTTTGTATAAGTTTTTTATACATTAAATATATTTGTTAATTCATAAACATATAAACATCACAATACTATTATAGGAGAGTCCGGTTTCACAGACAATTGGATATTAGAGGCTAAAAGTGCCAAAGTTTTAGTTCCCGCAGTTTTTGCCGATAAACTCTATCTCATTGTTGGACAAAGTTATAAATGTCACGAATCGTTGATCTTTAAAGCAGAAACTAGAGGAATATCTTTAGCACCAATTGTTTTCTCAACAAAATAAATAAATTAAAATTTTTAAATTAAATTCAAATTAATTAGTTTTTTAATGTATATGTTTTAATATAATTATAATATGAAATATATTTATTTATCGAATTAAATTGTTTTACATGCTTTCAATTAATATTTTAGATAATTATTTTGTTAATATCATAAAACTTATTTGTAAAATTCATAACATGATTATAATAACATTACAACAAATATAGTTTTAAAAGATAATAGTTTATTGAATGTAATTATTTGTATAAAATATTACAAAAATTGAGTCAAAGTTGTGTTTCATTGTTAAAATTTAATTGAATATCAATATAACTATTCCATTGCCGACGTAAATGATGGGACAGTCGTCGGAAAAAGTCGCGGTCAGTGATTGAACGCCTCAACGGTTTCAATGATAACATACCGTTCAGCGGTAGTTGCGATGTGTGTCTCTCAAGTAACACCTCCTCATAAGTGGGCGGATTGTCGGTTATAATGTCATTGTTAGTTACATCGGTGTCACCATTGATTAATGACAGTCTTCTGATGACATTATTCTCGTTGTTCTGAGTGATTGAAGACACAAAGTACAAGATCTGACCGTTTCTTAATGATGTCCGACTTAATGATTGTCTTAATCTATTACTGGTTCTTGTAATTATCGACTCCATAGACTTATCCGTACGAAATTGATCGGACAACTGATGTTCAATGTTAACACCAGTGTCTGGTCTGACTGGGAATCGATCGGTTACGAGGACAGCCTCCGAATAGCTCGGAGCCAATGTATAGTTATTACTAAACTCTACACTATCTATAGTAGTATCCCTCGAGAGTGCACTTAAATCATTACAAGAGGTGACAAAATTTTCTCCAAACAATTTAATAACCTTTAAATAATTATTAATAAAATATATAATTGATTTAAAAATTTTAATAAACTAATGTTAAGTCTAATGTTATTATACCTGAAAGTGAACGTATGCCGTCTGATATTCAATAAGTACCCGAAAAGGCCACGAAAGTAGAAGAAGTGAAAAGAGCCAAAAGGCAACATGAGATACATACCAGGGCTGTCGGGCACTGTTACCATAAGATATTATATACTCTTGAAAGTTGGCGCCCACTAAGTCCAAGCCCTCACGCATTTCTAAATAGTCATCGTATCGTTCATTGTCCTCAAAAAATGTTGATCTCTGTCCTTCAAATTCATTGGCCGACTCTATGTTAGCAAATGCAAAGCCTATCAATGAAAACAAAAGTTTTTCAGATCATTAATAACACATAAAGTGATGCCAATTGAAAGCTTAAGACATTTTGATTGTCTCTAAACAATCAGTGAATTTGTCAAAAATGTTATTTTGTGTAATGATTACAAAGTTTTTTTTATTTTATTTTTATAAATCCCCTATAAATTGCAAGTATATTGTCGATAAAAATATTATTTTTTAAGTATAAACCAAATTTTATCTCTATTATTAAGTTAAAGTTTAAAAATAACAATGTTTTGTAATAATGATTATGATTTTTCTACTAAATGACCGTAAAAGTTAAGAAGTTTTTTATATAGAATTTTTTTTATAAATATATAAATTGAAATCTTGCGACTATTTTATGCAGTTATGCTAGTATTGGATCAATCAATTGGAGTCTATATTAAAAATTTGTTTTATATTATAATTTATTTCAATTGAAATCATATTTAAGAATCAGTGAAAAATATATGAATTTTATTAAATGTAAAATTCTTATAATAAAAATCTTTTCAATGGTATATATAGTATATACCGTAATAATATAAAAGAAAACAAATTTAAATTCATTCAGATTTATTTCATAAAAATGTTAAAAATTTTAACATTATGAAAAATATTTCATACATTATATTTTATGCATACGTATTTGTATTTTAAACAAAATAATGGACATACAGTACATAAACTTATATTAGTCTAATTATGCACTGAATAATATGCAGGTATATTAAGAGTCAATATAAATATATAAAGTATAATAATAAATATTAATGTATTAGAAGAAACCTTTAGTAAATCTAATTTTAGTGATGGGATGTAATTCAAGATCCATGAGTTTCTTTGATATATCTTTGACCCCACAGTTTCCGTATGAAAAACAAGAGCCCGTGACGTGAGTATTGATTCTTTCGTAATATATCTGTGCTGTTGTATAGGCGTCTCCATTGCGATAACGAGTCACCTTAAATAGTAGATATAAAATGTGAACATTTAATGTCTTATAATGGCAGTCATTATATGGCAATAAAAATGCTCTTATAATGCATTAGTAATTAGTTGTAAGAGTGAGATGACAGAGCATATAATGAGAATTTATTTACTAAGTTTTACAATAATTATATCTTCAATGAACTAAAACTTTTGTTTTAGTCATCAAAAATAACATAAAAGTTTAGGTAAGAGATGATGACTTACTTGTCGGGAGCGCCGGATGTAATGATAACTCACTGTTATGTATATATCATAGTATGTTATGCATGAGAAAACATCAATGATTAATGATAGGTTTATCATTCATAAAATATTGTACAATCATATTATATATACAAATATTGCTATCAAACAAAAAATATTGCGAAATATTTTACGATGAAATAATTTTTAAGATTTATGATTATATATTTATAAATGCAATAATATAAAAGTTATGAAAATGTAAGTTTAGAGTATCTGAAATAATTTAGTTAATTGTTTTTTAAAAAAGTATTGTATTATTATATTATATTAATATTATAATAACATTTTATATAGAATGCAATATTTCATTCTATAGTAAAATAAAGTATAAAATAACAATTGCATAGTTTGTTTGCACTGTTAGCCCATACCTGCCTTCCACCATATGATAGGCTGTGCTTCTCTCATCTGTTCAATATGTGTGTACACGGCGTCGGCATTCAACCCATATATCTTAATATGATATATAATTAAATCATAATTATTTACCATAAAATAGATTTATATAAATACTGTACATAAAAAAGTAAAAAAGTTAAAGAAATAACTGTTGAAAATATATTTAACAGGAATTGTATGGTATATGAGTTAACATGAGTTTACAATGTTAAATGAAAGTACATTTTGATAATTAAGCTAACAGTTGATGCGTTAAATTCAAATAAATTGCTATAAATTTTATTATAAATGAAAATATAGACAAGTTTGATGTCAAAAATTAATAATTAATTAACTGAAAAATAATTATAGAGTCTATAAATTTATTTTATTCTTAAATTTTAAATTAAATATTCAATAGTTGTTTTGTAGTCCATTCTTTTGTCTTTTAGTTTTTACTTTATTATCTTATTGTTTTTTTGTGTAAAACCAATACAATTTTAAAATATAAATTGTCATAAATACAATACATAATTATTAGTTATAATATATATAAAAATGCCGACAAAAATTAGTAATTAACATATTATTACTATAAGTACAATACATACCAATTCAAAGCGTGTGCTACAGTGCCAGCACTCGACTAAATAGACTATATATAGCATCGACATGAATACGATGGGTATATAGACATATCCCTCATCACATGGACTAACTTTATGTATTGTAGTCATTGGGTAACTCTGTTTGATAAATATATAATTGTTATATAAATTTGTTAATATGATAATCAATGGATTATTATTATTACTTGAAAGTGGACAACCATGCGGTCAATTTGTGTTGCACTACACCATGTGATGACACACAGACAACCACTGATGAGAACAGTCAATAAAAGGCACTTTAAATGAGAGTCTCGTTTCAGACTTTGGTAAAGCGTTTGCTTCTGTGGTCGCTATTTGTATAATAAGAAGAAAAGCCGACAAATAAGATATTAGACATCAAATAATAGTATAATTGTGTAAACAATTTGTCTCTTTTGAAAACAAATTTAATGTAGTTCTTCGGCATATATATGAAATGCAATTAATTTGGATTACACGCAGTATATGGAAATTAAGATATATTGTATAAAAAATAATGAAAGTCAATGTAATTAAAGTAAACATTAGAACAAAACACGCGATTTTATATTATATAATATTTGATTAATATTTAATTTAATATAATCTCTTAAAAATAAATTAAATGAACAAAAACTTGTATTAAATAAGATAAATAAGATTACAAATTATAGTACAAATAAAAAATTTCAAATTATTACCAAATATTATCTCTAAATATAAACTAAGTGTTGAACTATAATAAGTAATAAGACAGAGAAAAGCAATTATTCAAATGAGAATTGCTTTCAATGACTTTTGTCACTAATTTACATACAAATGAATTCTTATGACATTTCTTTCATTTCATTACTTTTATGTCACTAAATATGATATTTACTGCATTATAATATAAAGTTTATGATAATATATAGTAATTTATGTTTTTCTACTATATATTTAATAATAACATTTATGATTTATAAAATATATTTCAATATTTATAATTTTGTTGTATACTATAAGTTATCTTAATTTCTATATTTTTTGTTTTTTTAATAATAATTTATAGTCAATTAGATATTTTATTAATTATAATAGTAAACTTTAATATATACAGTAATATAAAGATTTCAGATAATTGTAAAATCCTATGATATAAATAGGAAAAGTGGTTTTAATAGCAAATATTGATAAAATAAGAGTCAGAGAGCGGTTATGAGGCAAACACATGAAAATATCAAAGTATTACTCAATTTGTTGTTTCCGTTTGTATTTTTATATACCTTAAGAAAAACTCAAGAATGGTTTATATATTGATTTTCGTTATATTTAATACATAAGTGTTTAGTCAATAGTTTTCTTTCTATTTCTAAAGTAATACGGCTTTCAAAAGCAAAGCTAAGTGTTGTGCATCTAATGATAGGCTACTTAAATGACAAAAAATAGATTAATTTTGTGTGATTGATAAAAAAATATTCAACCATTTATTAGTTGATTGAACATTGCATTACTCCAAATGTATAAAATTTATATTTATTGCAAATTCAATTTTATTAAAATTGCTGCTAAAAGGGATATAAATTTTTTAATAAATCACTAACTGTAAGTTTCAGTGAGTTTACTATATTTATCATCAATTAAATTATAAAATGCATAAAAATTTTAAAATATATAATTTTAATTTTATCCATATTAAAATTTACCAAAATAAAACTTATCTTTAAAAAATTATTACATTAATCTCGTTCACATAATAAAACTATTTTTTATCCCCGTCTCAAACTTACAGTACATTTTTTATATTATGTATAAATTAATACATTATATATATGTCTAGTTTTTACTGACATAATTTAAAGACAACTTTTTTTGAATTGACTTTTTATAACAATTATAATACTTATTCTTCATAAATCATAATTTTTATAATAATAAACATTATATTATTATTTTTATAATTTCATTATTTATAATTATATAGATAATTATATATATATATATATTTACACAATTATACAATAAAATTAAAATATTTAATAATATTTAGATAAACATAATTATTATATTCTGAATATATATATATATTTTTGTTTTAATATTAAATATTTTGGCATTTAATAAAACAAAATTTATGAATTAACATTATGTGAAACATATATGAGTCCAACTAACAGTCAATTGTATATATTGTAAACAATAATGTCTAACAAATTGTGTGACAGAATATTCTATAATAATATTTTGTTGTTCAACACAAACGAATCGACACACATATGTTGTGTTACAGAAATGACAAAAATATAAAAGCATTTTCAATGGCTTTATTCCTCAGCGAATTGCTTGATAACTGTGCAAAAACCTCCTAACACTCCGTTAGTTTTGCTTTCATATATATATATATATATATATATATATTATATAATATATCAAGAATTATAATGTGATGGCAAATAGGAAAATGTGAGTAAACTAGAAATGACAACAAAATTCACGACATATTATCGATCAAATAAATTTTATTTTTCACTATATTTTTCACTATATATTTTTAAACCGTCATTTGAGTACACAATTGAAAAATATAAAAGCATACAATCGGTAGAAATATAAAACCTGGGTTTTGCATCAAATGGGTTTAACTGTAATTGAGATCATATATATGATATATATATATACTAGTAATATATATAATATTTATATTTATAGACTAAACGATAGAGTGAATAAAAATCAATAATAAGATACTGAAATAAAAATTGAAACTGTTTTTATTTTTTTCTCAATCTATTTTTACATTAAATTATAAGATAAAAACTATTTGCTATATAGTAATAGTGATAGCAAAAGACAATTACAAATGTAATTGTTTTAATTATACGGGTAATACTGTACTAACAAATACATTATCTTTAATAACAAATTTTATTATAAAAAATCATTTTCTTTCACAATGTTTTATAATTGAATACAATATAACATACTATTGCGTGATGTTTGCACTGTTTTCTAAGTTTCATCTCATCTTATGATCAAACTCTGTATATAATCTAATTTTTTGTGATATAGTAATAATAATAAAAAGTTTTTTACAAAAATTAATTTTAAATTCTATTATTTGAATCACACTTTCTTTGAGAAATTCTGTTCAAAACAATAGAATTCTTGTTTTTATAAAATAAAAATTGATTTTTTGTAAATAAATTTCACATTTTTCACTAATACTAAGATTGAACACTCACTCACAGGATATAAAACATAAAAATGAGGGTTTTATGCCTGACTTAATACCTTTAGTTAAGTCATAAGAGATTAACAATAAAAGGAGGAAACAAATTGAAACTATATATGAAATGTTTACGCATGAAATGATAAAATAAAGTGAACCTTCACTAACTTATGAAGGCTTAGTCGTCAATCTGGGATTCAATGTATCGCACATTAATCCAAATGTTTGCCTCAATAAAAATATTAGAAGACATTAGATAACAGTAGAATAAAAATTTAGTGTTTATATTATATTTGGAAAAATTGCTGTTTGTTAGTGAAAACAATATTGTTATAAATGTATAATTTATATATAGAAAAAACAAATTACATCAAAATATAATCAAAAACTATTTGTTTTGCTTTTACTAAGCAATGCAAATTCAAATAAGAAATTTTAATGTAAATATTGTAGTTTAAAACTTTAACAATAATAAAATGTAATATAATTCTACATTTAACCCATTTTTTGATAGAGTATTTAATTCCAGGGTAGGTGGGACATTTTTATAAACTGTTTAAAATGTCAAAATTAACCAATTAATCATAATTAAAATTATTTTAAACAAAATATTTCATAATAAATATATCATCCATCGTTTTTAATAGCTTTTCAAACAAATCGGCAAACTATTTGACAAAATTAGAAATTTACAGAATTCAGAGTAAATTCATTTTTCCCGAAATCTTGCAATAAAGTTGTCGCAGGATTTTATTCTCAGGCGGTTTAAAGCGGAATATTAAATAATGATATAATTTGATTAAATAATATTCAAATTGAAAAAATCGGGAATTGCATTACAATTGCACTACAATTGATTGCTAAACTCCTGTTATGTATTAATATTTACAACAGGTTTTTTTGTAATGGCCACCACTGACGCCATTCCCACTTGAGTTATGACCCGTTTTAATATGATTATGTTCTCTAGATTATATAATATCTTAAAATTATAATTTTCATTAAAATATCAATTGTTGTTTATTCATAATTTTTAAAAATTTAGAAAATTTAACTCTAAAAGACTACATTTTAGATATGTTCCCCTATACTGTATATATCAATATATATATATATATATATATACAGAAAGTTAATCTCAAGAATATTAGGATGTATTAGGAATATATACAAACCGTAATATAAAGTCGATATCAGATAAGTGTTTTGCAATTGAATTGATTATAGTATTTCACGTATACTTAAATTTTAGCCGATATTCACTTGCTTTCGGCATTCAATTTTGGTTTAGTATTATTAATATTATTATCATTTTTATTTTTTACTCCATGCTATCAATTTAAGCTATAGTTATTTTGATGCTTATTAAACAATCCTTAAATATGGTAATAACATAAAAAATTTTGATTATTATTTTATACATATTAGTACACTTAAGTTTTTTAAATAAATAAAACATAAGTTAAAATTTGAATTTTAAACTTATGAATCTTTAGTGATAAAAACATTTTTTACATAACAAATTGTAAATAATGTATATTACATAAAAAATTTAAATATATTATTTGAATACTAATAATTGCCATCATATTTTTAGAAAGATTATATTTAATATAAAAATAACAATTTTTATTGATTAAAATGCATTAAATATTGCATTTTTATTATAACTATACTGAATTAAATATTTTAAACTCCAAAAGTAATAAACAAATAAATTAAAAGAGAGACTTAAACATCTATATTATATTAAATGCTAAATAAGATTAATGGTACTAAAAATAATTAAATTATAAAATAAACTGAGAATTTGCTTGTAGTCTACAGAAAGTACATACATTCACAGTATATACAGTACTGTATTGTATTTATAAGTTATATTTCAATATACTATGCATAAACTGCATCAAATAAATGGGTTTTATAGTTATAAAATGTGTTTTTTATTTTAAGATTAATCAATAGTGAGATTATTAAAGGCGTCCATCTAACAGTTGCAAACAAATGTTAGGATTTAAATCATAATTTTTTAAAAATAAGCAATACTTATAGATAAAATAATTGGATAGACATAAGAAAATAAAATGTTTAACTAATGAGACATTATACTGTACAAACATACAG